CAATTACATATAAGGGAAGCAACTTTTCATGTCCTAAGATAACCTTTCATTAATCGTGATTTTACATAACTTCCGTCCAGGAGACAGGTACTGCAGCTAGTTATATTGCATTAACAGTCTAAAGCTTCAACTGTTAGATTTGTTTTCTTTTCTTTTATTGTTGTTGTTGTTAGGGAAACCATATAAATAAAAAGTTTAGGATTACTGTAATTTGTTTCATACTGAACTCGGGACTTATTAAAGTAAAAAAGAATACTTTTAAATGTCTATCATATTTATGTATTATATCTCAGACATTTATGTAGTTGGCTGCGTGATGTATCTTTTAACTTCAGTTTTAACCTAAGGTAAATGGATGACTTTTAACATTGACAGACTGTGACTGTTTTGGGTTGTATTAATTAATCTAGTCATACAAATTTTGTAATTAAAAAGTTGTATTATTTCAAAAAGATGCAATTTTAATTTTTTTTTATGTAAGTGCTTATCAGTTAATTTGGAATTATATGTGATTTTTATATTTAGGAAAATGTTGATCTGCGTAGATTGGTGATTCTCCTTCAAGAACAACTAGAGGAACGAGATTATTTGATTCGATCACTTCAACAACAATTGGTATACATCGTTATTAAATATTTTATGGAATGAACATTTAAAATTTTAAATTTATTCACGTTATTTCTCATGTGCAGTTTTTATTGTAATGAGTGCATCTGATAATGGTGGAATATTAATCTTGATATATTAATATTTGAAAACTCTCGTATCTACATACACACACACACTCACACATATAAATAAACATTTCTTCACCTTCAGTTCTTAGCTTCCAGATCATAATTATAGGAATGTCAGAAATATTAAGTTTCTCCATAGTCATTCCCAGTTTTTACCTATGCATCTACAGTGTACATTTACTTGATTTTGAACTTTTTGCTTATTTTGTAACAAATTGATATAAATAATTATGCTTGTCATAAGACATTAGTATTAGGCCTATTGTATTTTTAACACAACGTTCTGTATTCAGGGTCTTGCTGACTATGCATTTCACTCAATACAGTGTTCATCAGGCTGCAGGAAAATAAAGAATGTAGTGTTAAAAACATAATAGGTCTAATTTCTAATGTCTTATGACAAGTATGATTAATTACGATCATATTTCATCAGCTTAGAAAAGACAAAATTTTAAAGTAGATTGTTTGCACTCATAGCATGTAAGTGAAGAAAAATATTTTAGAAACAGCTGTGAGAATTTTTAGGGACTACAGTGTGACTGAACTTCTTTAATTGAAAATTTAGTACTTACATATAAGGAGCCATTTAAGAATGACTATTTATATTCTTGTCAATTTTCAAGTAAATTTATTTAGTCTAGTCTAAGAGATCCCAAACTTCCTTGATCATCTATTATGAAAATCTAACTTAGATGTGTATTTTCAATGATCCCAAAAATACCTATTCCAATTTTCATTTAAGTCAGTTCAGACAACTCTCACATTACTAAAAAGTCTTTTGATCTCTGTACAGGGGCCAGTATTACAAAATTTCAAAAATCTGAATTATAGATTATTATTCTAAAATGTGTAAAATATTTTGCATAGTTGTTGCTTCTCATGAAGTTCCATTGGTAATTTTCTAATTAAAAGATACCCCTATAATTGGTTGGGATTGCCTAGTGGTTAGTGTGCCAGACTGTGAATTCAAGGATCCATGGTTGCATCACTGCAAAATCATGCTCCACAATTTGGAACCATAAGTACTTTATAAAAGTGATGTTGTTATTTTATTAGAGTAGCCCAAGAATTAGCTGTGGGTGCTGTTGACTTGAGCTGCCTTCCCTCAAGTCTTTCAGTTCAAAATTAGAGAAGGCTAGCATGAATAGCCTTCATCAAGCTTTATGTAAATGTCTGAAACATACAAGTTGAAATAAAACAAACATATCCTTATATAAGATCATGAAGAATATGTTTTGTTTTATAAATTTGTATATATATATATTATATTTACGAAATAAATAGCTTCAACACTATAAATTACATTAACTGTCAATAGACAATTAAAATCGGTGCTATAAAACAAAAAAGAACTTACTATAAAATAAGCATTAAAAAGATTTTGTTAAAGAATCCATTGTCAGTCCTAATTGTCACTTTAAAATCATAGCAGGTAATGCCTGTGGTGATAGCTCCCAAATGCATTGAGGATATCCCATCTACCAGACAAAATCCAAACGCTGATATTAAGCTAGCCAGCAAACATGGAAAATCAATTAAGGATATGGAGTTCAGTGCTTTGCTTGTTTCTTTTTCAGAGTGAATGCACATTTTCAAAAAGCAAATCAGAAAATCAGTTGCAAGGAAACACATGTAATGCAGCAACTCAGACTGAAAGAGTAAGTGTATGTGTGATTTGTTTTATAAATGACACTTTCTTTCCATTTATGTATATTGTTACATTATAAAGAAATAAGAATTATAAATTTGAGACTACATCTATGGATGCACTAACAGGTTTCAAATGAACCAACTCAATTTAGATTTAGCAACTTGAAACATTAATGAAAAATTCGGAATTTTGTATTGGTAGACCTACAGACACAAGACACATTAATTGACTTAGATGTACTGCATGATAGTCTAAAAGAGACTGTTATTCTATGTTTGTAATATGCTGAGAGACTTGGAACTCAAGCCTTAAAGGAACTTTATGTGACTGGGTTATGACTTGTTGCTGGTCTCTTTCTGGATGGTCCTGGTGCCCTGAGTTCATCCATATTCATTTATTTTCCAATGGCATTAAGCAGAAGGTATATTCCCATTTTGAAAATTCTAAATCCCATCTGAATGCATCTTTACGACCTCATCATATGAATATTTTACATTGGAAAAGCTGTTACGTACCCTTGCCAGCATGATTAATTTTTGGTGATATAACGTTAGTTACAAAATAGCAAATGATATCAAAATGTAATTTCATATATAGTATTTCCCCACAGCCTTATATCAACTGTGGGTGTCACAGCTTGTTGATTTGTATATTCAAAATTGTTTGAATATAATGTACTCATCCCTCAATATTACTACAGCCTATTTTTCCACCTTTTTATGATGCCAAAACAAGTAGTCTGAATACTTACTAATGGCTCAACTTTACCAAGTAATGCACACATATAAAACAACTTATTCATTATTGGAAAGAAACTACATTTATTGAATGTAAATTCATCTCAACCATGCACTCATCTTTAAACCACATTTGGGGGGAACAGGGGTGAAATGTATCTCCTGTGTTCTGGCTGAAATTTTTGGTCATGCCTTTGTATTCTGCAAGCCAATAGAAATCCCTCCTCCCTAATTCATGCACACATTTTGCTTTCAGCTGTACTACTCAGCATTAAACTTTCATATTTTGGGTTCCACAAGCATTTTTCTATTTATACGCTATACTCAAATATATACTACAGGATAATTATTTTGTTCTTAATGGGTCAGATAGGATTATCTCTATTTTCTGTCTCTATTTCCTAGGTGCGGTCCTGGATGAGCAATCAGAATGAAACGGGAACTTGCGAAGATGCGGCTCATCCCAGCAGTCTAGTGAGGTAGGGTTAGAATGATAGCTTTGTTTAGGTTATTTTTTAAATAAATATATACTGTGCAATATATCTGTAGGCTAATGTGAAAACTTGGTACATTTGTTTTTTCTTTTCTCTTGACAGAAGTCACTACACTTGGCTCTATGCCAAGATTTCATAGCATTCAATATAGCATACAAGTGAGGGGGAAAATATAATATTGTAACTCAAGTGGTTCTCTGGAAAGGTTTTATAGCTTTCAATCTAGTGAATAAGTGAGGGTTAAATTAAAATATTGTTACTCAGGTGATTCTCTGGCAAGATTTTATAGGACTCAATCGAGTTAAAAATAAAATAAAATATTGTTACTCAGGTGTAAAATAAAGAGCATCTGCTTGTTTTATGAATTGAATTTCAAGTACAACGTTTTGACAAGGTTTTGTCATCATCAGGTACCTAAACGTTGTACATTTGCTGTTATGCTGAACTTATATTAAAGTTTTTCTTCATTACCCATTCAAGCCGTCTCCAAGCATTATTAGTCTCAAAGTGGGTTCCGCATCATCAAATCCATAATATGACATTAAATACACCACTGTCAGCTGTGGGCATGTTATAAAACTGATGATCAATGGTGGATACTTTTACCAGGTTTCCTTTCCTCTGGTCAGTAGTTCTAAATTAGGAATTACTATACTGAATCTCGGAGTCTCTGAACTGACCATTTAACACATGTCATACAAATTACTGTTTAGGTTGACAATATGAAACTCCTGTTGTTGTTTTTTTTTGTCTTGATTATTAATTTATCATTGCTTATATATTTTGAGTAGCTTTCAGGGTTTACTTATATTACTTCCAGCTGCTCTCTTTCTCTATAAATTGACCATGTGAGTAGGGGTAATCAGATTAGTTGTGTCAGACACAGCTCATAGGATTATTATTTTAACTACTATGCAAGTTTTTATTCAATTTTT